GGACAAATAAACTCAACATGGAGCTGATAGGTTTAGTCAGACACACTGTTAAGCAGCTTTATCAATCCTACAAGAGGGCTGTTCTGATACCTCCTTGTGCGACAGAAAGGCACTGTTATAGTTGTAGAATTTCTTAACTGACGACCATGTGACTGATGACGAGTCAGAGGAATCCAAGTACGAAAATGCTTTGAGGTGAGCAGAGACTGACCAAACTTAATACACAATTGGTTTTGCCTTTGACTGAGAGTGAGCATGCCACAAGAAACAAGTGCATCACTGATCATAACCATTGTATTCATTGCGCATTACCTTGACCCTTGACTTGTATTACATTGCAGAATGACAAAGGCGTGTAGATTTTATTGGTTGCGATCTATTCTATAACTCCGGAGGTTCTTTGTATTTCATTGGTCTTTTTCAAATTCCCAAATGTGACCTTTTCATTGGCTTTGTATAAATATAATGAAGACAAGCATCATTGTAAAAAAAAGCAAAGATTTTATTTAAACTATTGCTATAAAAGTAACTTCCCTCCATTTTTTCCACCATTTCGACCAATGCTGACAAAAAGAGAGTTGTAATCAAGTCACATGCAAATTCACTGGAAATGATATAACTACAGTTGATCATTGAACTACCATGTGACTACATTTCCATAACGTGAAATGTTAACAGTTTGATATTGAGTATGCCATCCTCTGTCTCTGATGACTTAGACTGGCTTTTTTACCCATGCTGCATTACAGATGTCATACAAGACCTGCCTTTGCACAAAATTTCGTTCAAATGGGCTCATAGCATGACTATGACACTATGCACCATTGTAAACAATGTGATGTAATCATTCAATGAGCCATTGTAATGCAGGTCCAGTGAGACAAATACCAACAAATTCCAGGTAATCTTAAAAGTTTTGCAAATGACTGTATAAAAATAGCCAGCGGCAAAGGAACTCTTATGTCATTTTTCATCTCTTAATTATTCCTTCAATACATACGTTGCACTCCTGATTGGCCGTTACCACAGGGTGGTCATTATAAAGATACAAAGCATCTAGTGAGTGAGATCTCTGAAGAGCTTTAATGAGGTGTTCTCTCACAGTCATCAAGTGTCGGAAGGGCTGTCCATTTTAAAGAAACTTGAGTTTGATTCTACAGGAAATCTGAATGAAACTTGAATGTGAAATATACATGTATGTACTGCTTTAACTTGAAATTGAGCAGAAATTCATATTACAGGCTGGACTCATCTAAGAAATATGGTCTCTTCTCAGTCTCCGTGATAAAAACATATGACTTAAAACTTAAAAAAGAAACATCATGCTAATTGAAACAGTGGTATTCTCCGTCACTGTCTTTCCATTACTAGGCAAGAAAACACTGATATCTTGGCCAGAATACCAGCATGGCTTTGGGCCTAATAAACAAAGTAAACTCTGGGCAGGCATTCAATAATCCTGTCTAGCTTGGCACTTGCCTCTCAGGTTTCAAGCCAAGGGCCAGTCCTATCCCTTCCAGATAACCAATAGACACTAGCTCAAGCTAGTGACCCCTCAAGTGTCAAGTGTTTTGCTATGATGAAGCTACAATAACAATTTCCACAAGATATCATGATATTCATGTAAGCTTGTTCACGGAGCTATTTCTATCACATGGTGCAGGAGTACAAATTCCAGCTTGCCATGCTTTTTCAACAGTAAATATTTCATCAATGCATTGACTGGAGAATTGTAAATCTGTTCAACCAGACTTGTAGACTTGACTTTGGCCCAAGTTGGCCTTGAGTGGCTATATTTTGTGAATCATGAATTGACTTGTAATTATCAGTTTTTGACTTGGGACTTGACTTGGACTTGCACATTATGACTTGCAACACAAGTCAATCAAAAACATTTAAGTTTTAAATTAGGACTTTCACTGTGAGCCTTAATTGCATTTTTAGAGTAAGACTTCCTTCCGCTTACAACTTCTACTTTGGTCTTTTGTCTGACACAACACAACAAGGGTACTATGTTGTTGCTTACTATTTCACAAACCAGAAACATCTATTCAGAGAAAAAGAAGTTATTTTTTTCGGAGGTATTAAAAATCATGTTTGTATCTCCAATATTCAACTCTAATTCTCGGGCTTATTTATATGCACATCTTCTTATTCCTGATCTTTGAATACGCTACTAATTTTCACATCTTTTGATCCCTACATCAACAGGGATATCAGTCCTTACAGACCCATACAACTTTTAACATCTGGACAATTTAAGGGTCTTATAACCTGAATTTAAAGTTTATTGCACATCTATTTTAGGGTGTGGCCAAATTCAAGCTCTTGTGTTAGATTAGGAATTTCGTTTCTATAAGAAAGTAAACATACCTGAATACATTGCGTAAGTAACCCCCATTTCACCTGTACACTAGGTGCTTACCTTGTATCACAAATCTTTGCAAAGCTGGAATCCATCCCCTGTGGAATACAAGTCTTGAACACTTGACTGCAACTCAGTGACAGTTGAGGGAGGATTTTTTTTTTTTTTGCTTGCCATTACAAAGGAGTAATGAATTGTGTCAAACAGCCGCTCCGTTTATTCCTTCTTTGCAGACCAATTCCAATTGATGTGCATTGAATCATCTGCCTTTGGGAACTCTGCAACTCTGACATTTCAAGTTTCTTTTCATGTACACCTGTCAAGAATGAGTGACTTTATTCATTTCAGGTTGTTATCATATCCAAGGTGATCTTGTTGTAAGAAAGTGTAGAAATATTTGTCCTGAAACAGTCCTGTATTTCTGCTGCATTTGTTTCAGACAGGTGGAAAACTAAGTCCTTATTAAGTCATCAAGTTGATAGGCTGCTAGGAGATCACAAACCAATCGTAAATTGAAGTCAGTTTTTTTTTTCAGATGAACTTTCAGAAATGTCTTTTGGTTGCTGTTAATCTCCTGTTCACTTATGACTTGATCAGTTTCCTGGCACTTTCATGACTAAATTACAAATGTGTATGAAGTTGGTACTGTTGGATACTAAGTCAGTGAGGGGTCACCAAAGTGTTGATCCTATCGATTTTTCAATCAATTTCTGTGCACATACATTTTTGTGTTTTTTCCTTTAAAGGTGAAAGTGTTTCTGCAGATACTCTGATATACTAGTATGTTCCTATTGTAGCCGGAAGAGTATGTTGGCTTGCAACGTTACTTAGATCAGATAATTGCTTCCTTTGTTACTTTCTGTTTTGATCAGAAGTTATGTACATTTGTCCTTCTCCAACATGGTCTTTGGCAAATTTACAATATTTCTTCTCCCTGGTTAGAGACAGACATATTTATTTCTTTGTTACTAGAATAGATCCATAGTAGACTCCAACATAATTTTCAAGGTGAGGAATGAAGGTGGTCATAAGAATTTGAGTTAAATTTCCTCCCCCATAAATACCTAGTCATCTACAACATACCCTAGACTGTATGAGAAAATTCACAACTGAAAAACACGAATAAATAACAGAGCACAAATGGTCTATTTTATGAGTTTATCTAGTGTTATTTAAAACTATATGAGCTTCTCTACAATTGCCTACATTTCACTGATTGCCATGGCAGCACTGGGGTAAAGGGTATATTGCTGTTTGTTAAAGGAGCATTAGATTGAGAAAATTGGGATTTATTTTAGTAATCTTCCTCATGCTGTTTAAAATAAAAATGTGTTTTTTCCAGTGTTCCATATAAAAAGTCAAAAGGAGCAACAAAACTTTACATATCAATTGTCTAGGTTGTGGTGACATTTTCACTTTGAATGCTAACTAATGTACCATTGGTACAGAAGCTAACTATTCGTGCAGAATTTCTCAGACTTGATTATGCCAAAAATTTGGTAAACAACTCTTGCATTTCATTAAACACAACCTGTTATTTCAAGGTCTCTTGTGAGATTATTAAGGTTGTACTGATTCCTTTGCTGCCGTGGTTAGTTGGTCATTTGCATAATTTATTCACATACATAACCTGTGTTTCAAGCACATTTCCATCTTTATCCAAGTTGTCAGTAAGTATTACATAGTGCAGTATTTGTTATTAAACATACATGTATATAGCTTACTTAAAGGTTGATATTGTGGTAGCCATGTTTACAATGACCCTTTGCTAAGTCAGGCAAGATTATGGAAGTGTTGATACCGTAGGTTTTTGTTCGTGAAAATCTTTGTAAAATTTCATTTCATTTCCTTTCCAGCACTAAATATGGAAGATTTCTTTGTGAACACTGCGACAACTGGATGGTTACCAAATCTCACAGCCTTTGTCTCCAAACATTGTCATTTCAGCTGAAAAGCTCACACTTGCAACTTATCAGTTGAGGTTTTCCTTCTGCTTTCTAAATCGGAAAGATTGAAATTAGGGACAAGACGTTTTAGAGTGAAAAATCACTCTGAATTTAGACTGAAAAAGGCTGAAAATAGCCCCTTCCAGTGAAAGCTCGAGTGAAATTTCACTCTTCTAGAGTGAACAAATTTCACTCCAATTCGTCTGGTCCTTAATTTCAATCGGAGGGATTGAATTTTCACTCAAATAGAGTGAATTTTTGCTCTTTGGAATTTAGAGAGTGTACTTCCAATGTTTTGAATTAAATTGAACAACACAGATTATGTGCACCTTGCCCATTTGAAAAAATTGCCCCCCTCCCAATCAAGCCTATAAACGTCCACTTGTTATGGTCAAGTGCAATAAAAGTTGATATACTATCATATTAAAGCTCTTCCAACTAAGTATTTCTATATGTACCATGTACACTTTGACCAATTAAAGTTGCTCCCTTCCCAACTAGCCAGTCCTACAAAAAAAGAGCTTGGTACAGTACAATAACAGCTGATATACAGCGATCTTGAAGCTATTTAAACAAAATATTTCTACCATGTACACTTTT